GCAGCAGCAGCAAACAAATTCTTATATCTACTTGTAGCCTTTAGGTGGTCAGAGCAGTGATAAAAATAGCACGTAATACTAATAGCACCAACTACTGTAAAACCGGAAAGTTTAACGACGAAAAAGTTTAACTCAGATGGAGAGCCAAGGTTTAATTTATACAAAAGAGAAAGACCAAGGAACTACAAGTTACGCTATGCTGTCCACTAACACCACCAGTTACTAAACACGTGCAATGTTATCGCATGAGCTGATTGTTTAGTAACTGGTGGTGTTAGTGGACAGTATAGCGTAACTTGTAGTTCCTTGGTCTTTCTCTTTTGTATAAATTAAAAAGTTAAACGTTTTTGTAATTTTGGCATGATAACGTGCAGAAAGTTTAACGATGGCTACCTGGCCACCCATCTGTATGCGCATCTTTACACAGACATCTCAAACCGGGTTCGCGATAATGTTTCTTCAAAATAACGGAAAAAATTGGTCGTTAAAACGTTAGACTTTGTGACTCGTTAGACTTTCCGGTTTTACAGTAGAGGGGACGGTTTCAAATAGGACACAGGTTGCAAACCGGAGCGGACTCAATATTCACTTTCTCTCTTGATATTTTGATTAGAAAGCATATGTCACAGTGAGACTACGATGTGTTGTACTCCGAGCCAAATCTTCATGGCTCTGCGATGACCAGAAGCGCCATATCAAGCAGGTGAGTTTTTGACGTGTTGCTTCGCACTGCGACTTGAGTTTTACGACTTTCGAAAAATCAACTTCTTGTCGCAGGTAAACAGCGGCTCGCCTCTCGCCAATAAAGCACCGCATACCAATCAAAACTAATGGAAGCACACACAAGGCTTATTGTTACTCTGTACTGGCCGTCGTGGAGCGATAGCAATTACCTAATTTCAGACCCAGAGTGAATTTGACGTGCACTCTAAAACGTGTCCGGTTTGGAGCCACCTCTGATTTGAACTTTTTTGAAGCGAAAAATTGGGCAACTTGGAGGCAATGGGTCAACACAAAGGAGTGGCTCAGTTCGATTGACTCTGGCCCCAGAGCAAACTTCAACATGCCAGTTTCCTTCCACAAACAGATTTCGAGTGAAAAATCAACGCTGATGATCGGTTTGGGTCTATACAAATTTGGCTGTCAAAGCGTCCCGGTATCGAGCCGTCCCCTCTACATAGCGAAACCATCAATACACAGCATACAGCCGACTCCTGATATAACGAACACCATTGTGCAGGATGATTAGTTCTTTATCGCCGAAGTTCGTTATAACAGAAATGCACGTACAGGCGCAGATGCAGCTCCTAAAGCGCTGGGAGCATTTGTGCCAGTCTGCCCTATAATTATAACATCATTCATACACCTGAATCATCTATAATCCACTGCTACCTCCCCCGATGAGCTCTGTTGGAGCGGAACAGCTGCCTGGAGAGTCTGCAATATCAACATTTCAACGGAATTGTACTCGCAATGGCTTGATGGAGGCTCATAGTGACGGAAGTGTGGATGATGAGGAGGACCAACGAATGCCATAACAAGTGGTGGGTTACGTTTCAATTGGGACACCACTAGCGACCCACGCTGAGTCGAGCTCTTCAGGTTTGACGCAGAGGGGATCAAGATGCTGCGACATCCATTGCGACTACAGGACGGTTGCGCATATCTTGACAGGAAATCGTGGTCAAGCGTGGAACGCCTTTGTGTTGGGTTGTGACGGCTGGCTTAAAAATGGAATTCCTAGTCTAATGCAAGTCCAGCAATGCACCACCTAAGTTCCTGGACAGGACGCGACCAACAGACTCCCAGCAAGCAAAGGTAGCACTGGCACGCGCCAACTCCACAATCTTCCGAGAATACACCAAAAAAGTAAATTTCAAAATCCGCAACCAAAAGATCAAGACCGAGCAAGCTGCCAAGGATTGGAGAGATACCATAGAAAGCAGTTCTGCATTCACAGACGGATTGAGATGATTCAAAAAGAAAGGTGCACCTACCCACCAAAGCGCTAGAACACTGCACGACCAAGAATTAACAAAATTCCATCCTACGACACCCCGAGCCCCCGCTCCAACAAACAAGCCGAACGTCTTCGACCTCTCTTCCCACGGTCTCACGATGAAACACCTGTCGTCTGAAGGATCTACTCCCTCTGTTTGGGCACAGTCCTTCATACCCAGAGTATAATCTTCAATGTAATGTGTATTGAACTTGCCAATCGATGGAGAGGCCACTTTGACAATTTCCACCTAGCACATTTCTTTAATGAGCAGCGCGGCTGAGGATGTGTTCAACAGCTGTACACCATATCAGCCACCTCGCTGCTTGTTTTGGATTCAGCGACGGAACAGTAAGGCCCAATGCGACTTGGTCTTTCGCGCCGGTCTGCCCATCTTCTCCCTCCTACTGGGCGAGCAACGGTATACAAGGCCACTGTTCGTCCGCTGCTGGAATACGCAGACATTTTGATGTGGATCTTTTTCAGGTGATGTGCACGAGGAACCTTTTTCCGTGCAATTGCCCCTTGCAAGTTGTTTTGGATATTTCTACTCCTGGCTTATTAAGCACTTTCGCTTTTGAGACCTCCTATCATTTGTTGTTGTGCAAAAAGGAATGTCTTCAACCTCTCTTCCCACGATCTCACAACGAAAGACCTGTCGTCCGAAGGACTGTTTGGGCACAGTCCTTCATACCCGGAGTATAACCTTTAATGTAACGTGTATTGAACTTGCCAATCGATGGAGAGGCCACTTCGACAACTTTCACCTAGCAAATTTCTTCAATGAGCAGCGCGGCTGAGGATGTGTGCAACAGCTGTACACCATATAAGCCCCCTCGCTACTTGTTTTGGATTCATCGACGGAACAGTAAGGCCAATTGCGACTTGGTCTTTTGCGCCGGTCTGCTCATCTTCTGCCTCCTGCTGGGCGAGTAATGGTATACAAGGCCACCGTTCGTCCGCTGCTGAAATACGCAGACATTTTGATGTGGTCCTTTTTCGGGTGATGTGCACGAGGAACCTCTTTCTGTGCAACTGCCTCTTGCAAGTTGTTTTGGATATTTCGACTCCTGGCTCATCTAGCATTTTCGCTTTTGAGACCTCCTCTCATTTGTTGCTGATGTGCACGAGGAACCTCTTTCTTTCCAACTGCCTCTTGTAAGCTGTTTTACTAGTAGATATTTCGACTCCTGGCTTATTTCGCAAGTTCGCTGTTGAGACCTCCTCTCACGGAACATATGCTGCTGAGTCCTCCCGCTGAACATACTCAATGGCGGGCGAGGTCGTCTATTCTTGGAGTGTATTGACATTTGTCCTTGTCTCACAGTGTGTGAAGAACGAGAGTTCACCTTCTTGACGGCAAGGCTTATGTTGCTGCTGAATGGCTTTGTTGTGTTCTCCAAATGCGTTCAGCGCCTTGGAGGATACGTCAATGTCATTGCTGCATGAAGCAGTGCCTCACCCAGTCACCTGAGTTGACTTGACCGAGGCCAGCACAGCGGCCTGAAAGTCATTGGCCCTGGCTTCATTTGCCATCCCACTACACATCCTTATTCAACCTCGTACACCGTACTCTGAACACAGCAGGGAGTCGAATACGACTCCCTACATTTTATTCTGAAAATATGAAGCTGGCCACGACGAGGGTTTCCCCTCAGATCTTGGTTAGTCCAGAAAGAGAGCGTTTGATTTGCAGTGTCGAGTGAGCTACTATTCTTCACCTGAAGTCTCCACATCGCAGCCGTACGCAAGCACTCAAGGCAAAGGTCTACCGCTACCTGTGCGCCGAGAATAAGATGTGGACTACAGACGCTGGCTACTTGGTATTGTACTTGTATCTCTCTCTCTCTCTCTCTCTCTCTCTCTCTCTCTCTCTCTCTCTCTCTCTCTCTCTCTCTCTCTCTCTCTCTCTCTCTCCTCCCTCCCTCCCTCTCTTCCTCTCTCTCTCTCTCTCTCTCTCTCTCTCTCTCTCTCTCTCTCTCTCTCTCTCTCTCTCTCTCTCTCTCTCTCTCTCTCTCTCTCTCTCTCTCTCCCTCTCCCTCTCCCTCTCCCTCTCCCTCCCTCCCTCCGTTTTACTGTATCAGGCAGTTGTTTCACCTGATGGCCTCATCTGGCATGTATTCAAACCTACCGAAGGGTGGCAACATGATTCTGGAATCCTGGCTTCATGACAACTAAATTCTGGATAAGTTGGCTACTAAAAAGCAGCCATCTCGGAGAAAGAAGTTTCAATAATGCCATGAATAAAACAATTGATGCCTACATAATACCACGATGAAATTATAATATGTAAAGAAGAATTCAGAAACGTTTTTCTTGTATGGTCGATGGTCACTGATGACCATCGAAGAAAAACGTTACGGAATTCTTCTTTATTCATTGGTTTGAGGGAGAAAGGTGCAAATACGGGAAAAGTCTTAAGAAAAACTGACTGTCATCACCAGGACTCGAACCAGGGACTTGCGCTTGAGGCCAGCGATGCTCTAACCACTGAGCTATGGTTTAACATATTATATTTCATTAGTTCATCATGGTATTATGTTGGTAAAGAGGACCAAAGAGCTACAAGTTACGCTATAGTATCCACTAACACAACCAGTGAGTGACTTTACAATCAGCCCATGCGATAACATTGCACGACGCTGACCAACGGTGCTTACGTTCTACACTCGTACGCTCTTTGGTCCTCTTTTCTTCTGATAAATTGATCCCTTGCTCTCCACCCGGGTATAATTTTTCCGCTGGTATCAATTGTTTTATTCATAAATTAAAATTGGCTACTCTTCCACTTGCTGACAACGGCGACCCTTACAGTATTTACGGTGATCCCGTGGATCCATTAGACTGCATACCTACAACCTCACAACACTTTTCTCATGCCCGATCGAGGCTCGCTATTCGCAAGGTTGACAGCATGCACTAGAAGATATATACAAGAATGATATCATCGCACGGTACGACCCCGAAGAACAACATCATTAAAACGTTGCAGTACAGCACTGAGTTTCTGACCTGGTGTTGGCTGCATTGGGGATTGCCGTGGTAGCTGAGTATGGAGACTGCAATAGGCCCGTGGCGGGAGTGGGCACTAGAATTTGCCCAGACCACTGCAGGCCTGACAACACAGATCAACAACAACCAGCAGAAGACTGAAATGAGAACTACTGTGGAGACAAGCAGCAGCAGCACACACACACACACACCTTTGACCTTTTGACGCCCATCGCCGGAGGCGATGATAGCAATGCTACGGCAGAAGCCATAGCAACTTGTGCTGGGATTGCACCATTCAATAGCTTGCAAGGCTGAAGAATTGACCCTCACTATTCAGCCTGGTCTACACCATACAGCTATTTGAAGTGACTTTTTCTGGCCAGTGAATCCCTATTTTTGGTCTTTTCATTTTTCTGCACACACATCACACCACATACTCCGGCATGCACTGGCTGTTGGTAACCACCCAGGAGAATGAAAGAAAAGTCAGAAAGAGTCTGAGAAACAGAATAAAGACGTGTGTGACCATGATCGTCGGGAATCGAACCCGCAACCTATCGATTGGAAATCGCTGCACATACCACTGCACCACATGGGACACACACACACACACACACACACACACACACACACACACACACACACACACACACACACACACACACACACACACACACACACACACTAACATAAGGAATAAATACACCCTGAGGGGAACTCGCGCAGGTGTGTGACTAGAATGATGGTGGTGGTGGTGGTGGTGGTGGTGGTGGTGGTGGTGGTGGTGGTGGTGGTGGTGTGTGTGTGTGTGTGTGTGTGTGTGTGTGTGTATGTGTGTGTGTGTGTGTATGTGTGTGTGTGTGTGTATGTGTGTGTGTGTGTGTGTGTGTGTGTGTGTGTGTGTGTGTGTGTGTGTGTGTGTGTGTGTGTGTGTGTGTGTGTGTGTGTGTGTGTGTGTGTGTGTGTGTGTGTGTGTGTGTGTGTGTGTGTGTGTGTGTGTGTGTGTGTGTGTGTGTGTGTGTGTGTGTGTGTGTGTGTGTGTGTGTGTGTGTGTGTGTGTGTGTGTGTGTGTGTGTGTGTGTGTGTGTGTGTGTGTGTGTGTGTGTGTGTGTGTGTGTGTGTGTGTGTGTGTGTGTGTGTGTGTGTGTGTGTGTGTGTGTGTGTGTGTGTGTGTGTGTGTGTGTGTGTGTGTGTGTGTGTGTGTGTGTGTGTGTGTGTGTGTGTGTGTGTGTGTGTGTGTGTGTGTGTGTGTGTGTGTGTGTGTGTGTGTGTGTGTGTGTGTGTGTGTGTGTGTGTGTGTGTGTGTGTGTGTGTGTGTGTGTGTGTGTGTGTGTGTGTGTGTGTGTGTGTGTGTGTGTGTGTGTGTGTGTGTGTGTGTGTGTGTGGTGTGTGTGTGTGTGTGTTGGGGGGTTGACAACTTTGTGAACGGCTAAAAGTACTCACTGCCTGCTCCCCTCATCACTCCTCGGATGACACTAACTCAAATTGCCCCGGCAGAGCAAACAGCAGTAGCAGCAGAAACAGCAGAAACAGCAGCAGCACAGCAGCAGCAGCAGAAACAGCAGCTGAAGCAACAGCAGCAGCAGCACCACAAGCACTCCTCATAACCTTACTTGTCAGTCCACCCAGTCCCTCGGACGGGAACGTTGACTGCACCATCCCAGCCTCGATCACCTGTTTGGCCAAGGCAGAACCCGCCGATGCAGCATTCGGACGATAGTTGACGTCCCACATTGGCCCTCCATCGCTCATTACCTCCTTCTCCAAGATCAAGAAGAATCTGTTGGTGCAGAGATCAAATCGGGGAAAAGGGAATATACACACAGCCAGGGTACCATTGCCTTACGACCGTACATGTACCTGCCCGGTAAACCGAGGTGCAGTGAATAGAGAGGCCCGCATGGATGCAGGGCTAGGCTTGGAGGCTGCTCCTTTAGCAGCTAGCATGATCACCACCCTTGGGTGTCTTGAGCCACCTGGTGGCTATGGACTAGAACAGGCCAGTGAGGCACGAGAGGTTGCCTCACTGGCCGTCAATAAGATTTAAAGTGATGAAGCAGCCCTTCAAACTCCATTCATGATCAATCACAGCCAGAGGCAAGTACCTGTAGGAAAGTGGGGACTAGCAGCATTGTCAGGTGCAGGAGGCAGTGGATGAGAACTGTCTTTACTTTAGAACATGGTGAACACAAATAAACGAGAGAGCTTGGAAGCTCAGGGCCCTACGCTATGCTTTTTTGCCGTGATGACCTAGACAAAAAAAAGAATAGGGATGTTATAAATTCTTTTAAAAATTCCTTTTTTTAAACATAACCTGGGATTCGAACCGCACTATCGCGCGCCCTGCATGCATCCCCCGATACACTTCGCATACATACTAATTCTTCCAAGTTGCTTCACATTATGATCTTGTACTTGAAAGCCCTATTTGAATATGCATTGTGGCCAGCCGTCTTTGATGGTACGGTACGGTAGGGGATAGGTACGGGACAGGTACGATCGAGGGTAATACGACACCGTCTCCCGTACCGTACCGTACCGTACCATCAAACACAGCTGGCCACATACAGCTGCCCGCAATGATCAAATAGGGCTTTCAAACGCAAGATCATAACGTAAAGCAACTTGGAAGAATGGGTATGAATGCGAAGTGTATGGAGGAATGCATGTAGGGCGATGGTGCGGGTTCGAATCCCAGGATATCCCTGAAAAAAATAGGAGAATTGAAAAATTTATAACATCCCTATGCTTTTTTTTGCCGTCCAATACGGGATAGCGCCAGGCGTGACACAAACAAACAAACAAACAAATACCAAATTAAAGCTGTGTGGACCCTGGCTAGCGCCAGACGTTACTGAAGTAACGTCTTCTGCATAGCTACGGGAATGTTAAAGAGAGTTGTGCCACTACGGCAGCAGTGCAGCAAAGCAGGGCTACATTAAACCCTGCACACAGGTCTATTTTTACTGCTTGTACATAGCAGACTCAGCAGAGGGTGTTCAGGTTGGTTGTAACTCCGAGCTCCATGCCGCAAGGCAATCATCAGACACAGCGGTTACAACGAACATGAGAACTGCCACCGCTGAGTCTGCTATGTTCTTTAAGTTCTGTCTATGACATTCTAAGCACTCTCTGGTGCTTGGCAATGAACGGATGTGTGTACTGCTCTGCCCTACATGGGTATTGAGCACTCTTCGGACAGTGAAGCAAACCACTTGACTATGTACTGCTTGTACATGAATACAAGTGCTGTAAAACTGGGAATTTTCCGAGATGCCTCATTTCTCGTTGGCTGACGTAGGAAAGAAAGGAGAAATGTAGTTCTTTTTGTCTTTCGTTTTTGCATGACGTAACATTTGCTGCTCGCAAATGCGAGATGGAAGGAGGATGGGCTCTGGCTGCGGCATTATTTTTCTTCTTGCTTTGCAAGTGTAGTGTCCTTTCTGATCCCGCTTTCAGCTTTCAAGATCCTTTTACGAACATGCCTCCCTGTAAAAGGACCCGTCGTGCTGCAAGCGCAGAGCCCGCACGACTGCAAGATGACGTGCAGCAGAACGCGAACAAGGTACATGTGGCTGCGGCACGCCTGGAGGAGCAGGTAACCCGTGTCAGACTGCTCAAGGCCCAAATCGAGCTAGAAAGGGCCAGGGCAATCCCGGAGTCCCCACGCGGCAGAGGTCGCAGGGGGAGATGTTCTCCGTCATCATCGTCGTCCCCGTCATCGTCAAGTACTAGTAGTTCGTCGTGTTCACCCAGCTCCAGAGATCCAGATCCAAAAAATTCAAAAAATCAAAAAATTCCGGCAAGAAGGCTCGCCGTCACCACCATCGCTCTTGTGCTCGTGCCACCTCAACGGGCCCCAGCAAGTGGAGGAACGTGGCGTATGAGCACTGACACGCCGTAAATGCCTGGCTCCAGGAGCGCCTGGACAAGGTGCGGAGGGCATTGAAGTCGGATCGGCTGAAAAGCGCTACGAAGAACCTGAGAAAAGGTGAGGATATGTTGGACGACAGGCAGGAGTGGCTCGCCGTCGCCGATGCCCATGGCATGGGGTAGAGGTGGCAAATAAATTTGTGGAGGGAGGGGGGATCCTCAGCATTGTATCCTCCGCCGAAAAAAGAAAGAGGCTGAATGCGGCGGTGCAGTCTGTGGTCATGCAGCGGCCCTTTCGGGGGGCATCCCATCCAGGTTCGGCAGGGGTGGGGTGGTCATCCCTAAAGCAACCGCACGAGGGGCTGAGCAGCCACCACAGCAACAGTCACTCTGGTCCCAGCGAGGCACCAAGGATACAAGGGGAGAAACCCCATCGAGCCTGGCCCCAAAGTCTGCTTCCGTTGCGGCGAGCCAGGCCATTTCATCAATTTCTGCCAGAAGCCAGCCACTCAGAAATAGCTCTGAGGGCTGTGCGGACGGACTCCCCGCTGATGTAATTGATGATGAAGTGTATTCGGTGCTGAGTGTTATTGATGAGGGGTGCGTGGTGGACATGTGTAAATCTGATGATCAAGGGGAACTGGAGGGGCAAGGTGTGGTGGTGGGCAGGTTAGCTAGGTGCAAGCCATTTTGGGAAACTATGGGGGCGTCCGAATTTATGCTAAGGATCATTTGTGAGGGGAATCTACTCCCGTTCGTGCAACTACCAAAGCCAAAAACTGTAAAAAAAATCCTAGCAGCGCTCAGTGCCAATTTGATTTCGTCACAGATTCAATTAGAGACTTGATGGAAAGAGGGTGCATAAAGGAGGTCAAGAGTGAGGAGGCAGTGATTTGCAGCCCTTTAGGTGTAGTGAATAATGGGAAAAAGAAGAGACTCCTTTTGGATTTGAGGTGTGTCAATACTCATCTGGCGAAGTTTAAATTCAAGATGGAAGCCCTAAAAACAGTCGCAAGAGTCTATGAATAGGGCAAGTACGTGATTACTTTTGACCTGAAGAGCTGGTACCAGCACATTGAAATTGCACAGGAGCATCAAAAGTACTTGGGGTTTAAGTGGTTCGATGGGGAGGGAACTATCACAACCTACATATTTTGCGTGTTGCCATTTGGCCTCTCCACGGCTCCTTACGTTTTCACAAAAGGGACACGTGTTTTACTGCGGCGTTGGCGGGAGTCAGGCATAAGATGTCAGCTCTACATGGACGACGGGCCTGGCGGGCATTCTACTATCGAATGGCAAGGGTAGTGGCAAAACAGATGAAGGCTGACCTCTTGACAGCTGGGTTTGTGCCCAATGAACAAAAATCCCAGTGGGAGCCATCACAAACGGTTGAAAAGCTAGGCATGTGCATTGATCTCAAAGAGGGCCGAATTTTTGCGACAGAGCGCAGAGTGGCAAGGCTTAAAGAGTGCCTAGCACGGCTGAGCGGTTTAGCAGCACCACCCGTGAGGGAAGTGGCGAGGCTAGCCGGCTTCTTGTTGTCTATGTCGCTTGCGCTTGGTCCAATTTGCCGTCTGCGTACCAGGGCATTCTACAGCATGATATTGTCTAGGAATTCTTGGGACAAGCCAGTCAGATTATTTTTCTTCTTGTTGTTGCTGCTGTCCCTGAAAAGGTTAATTGCTGTTGCTGTGTGCGTGTGTATGTGTGTGTGCGGCTGTGCATGTGAGTGAGGTGTGTTAGGGGTGGCAGCATGTATGGTGTGGCTGCACACAGGGGTGAGAAAGAGAGTAAAAAAGAATTTATTTTTCGGTATTTCCCAAAATCAACGGCTCAGTAGCGCAAAAATTTCGGCAAACCAGTTTTCCAGATCCAAAAAATGCATTTTGCACACTAGCACTGTGTGGCATAGGTTTGTTGAAAATTGGGTGGGGTTTTATTTTTAGGTACAAATTACCTGTGCCAAAGTTACCGAAAATTTCCGGTTATACGGTACGCACTTACTTTGGCAGATGCGTGAGCACTAGAGCCTGATTCTTGGCGGACATCTTCTCCTTGTCACTGCGAGCTCTCGCGTAAATGTGCTTCTTCACGCTCTCGAAAACAGATCGCAGAAATGGCTACGTTGCCCGCACACAGTTAGAAAGAGAAAGCGGGAGAGAGAGAGAGGGGAGAGGCTGGTAAGATAAGCACATCAGCATGCATTGCATACGGTCTATCTGACCTGCGCACACATCTCCCTGCAAGTCCCAGCGGTGCATGTATACAACTGTGAGCTACTGCTACAGTCAACTTGGCTAATAGGGAGGTTTCGCTCTACGTAATTACGTATGAAAATTCGTATGTCGTACGCGCCGGGGAGCGAGGGCAACTTTCATACATAAATCTCTCTACGGATTTCCATAGGAAAGCTCTTTCCTACGTTGGGTCCTCCGTAGGACTTTTTGAAATATTTTTTTCGCATTTTCCGCATTTGTCCATGGCAACATTCAAGCCGCGCGAAACACAAGGTACACACACCGTACACCACGTGCAAAATATATCGGAAAACGCGGTTTCGGTTCATGGTGCATGCGGTGGGCGCAGGCAGCCAACGCGTCTCCAAAGCAACAACGCATGTATAGCAGTCGTGGAGAAATCACGTAGAGCGAAACCCAACAGCTCTGATTTTTACGTATGAAAATTCCGTGCAGTTCATACGTTATTTTCATACGTAATTCCGTAGAGCGAAACCTCCCTAATAACGACTGCGGATATAACGACAATTCGCGAATAACGACAGAATTTCCACGCCCAGAGCAAAGTCCCATCCCACTGTAATACATATAATGAGACTTCGGGTATAACGACACTTCGCGAATAAGGACACCTTTCTGATGCCGCGCCGAGTGTCGTTATAAGCGAAGTTGACTGTAGTAGCTGATTGTGCACTACATGAAGTTGACATGGAGGGAATCACATTATAGAGATGCAAATGATATCATACCTATTTGGTATGGGGTGGAAAATGAGTGCGTGTGTGCTGCCAATCGGTACAAACACCTCGAAAGGTGAGGTAAAAAAATTAATAGATTAACGCCAATGGGACTTTCCCACTCGAAAGCTATCTACTGGAGCAGTAGACCAGCTACTTCATGACTTCACACAAGATCATTTTCTTAAAGTGTAAAAGGATTCACAGGGAGTGGAGTGCTGTAGGGCAAGCAGCAGATTCCCGTACCTTGCTAAACGCTTCCAGCACGTTGTGTGACGTTAGCGTTGTGAAGTGCTGCGGAATGCAGCAACAACACATCCAACTGTAGCAGGGCACACACACGAGGAGACAATGAAAATGTTAATGATAATGTTAATATTCAGTGACTTATTCACTGGTTTGAGGGAAAGACACATAATGTTAATGATAACGATAATGTCGAGCAAGAAGACACCAGTATCGGACAGAGCACAAGCTGGAGTCCTGTGCTCCGCACCACTCGCTGCACAAGAAGTGCAAGTTTCTGCTAACAAACCAGCCAGTCAGTAATGTACTTATTTATGGTGATGTGCACCCACGTATGCCCGTGCACCCTTCTGGTCACACACAGCAGTCAGCAGCAGCAGCTTGTAGCAAACCAGTTGTTTGCCATATAAA